TTTTAGGTCGAATTTTAAAATTAACTATTCAACCTAAAATTGGATGCTGATTTTAAGCTGATTGGTAGTTTTTAGGTCGATTATAGGTTGATTATAGGTCGAATTTTTTGGCCAATTTGACCTGAATTTGATCAAAAATTTGAAATTCAACCTCCGATTAGAGGTTGAATTTTACCTTTTCAACTAGTGGTTACAACTCTTCTTTTTTTATTTTTATTTTTATTTTAACTGTTTTCTTATTAAGAGCTTCTTTGTAACTGCTATATATTTTGAGTTCTGTTGCTATTTCTATTTCTTTTGTTTTAACTATATCTTCTAGTATTTGTATAATAAGTTGTTTTTCTTCTGGTTTAGAATTTGCTCTACTTTGTTAATTTCATCAGAGATAGCTGCTTTTTCAATTATCTTTTGCTATTTTCTTGCTGTAGTTACAATATTTTTATCTATATGCATTATGTTTGCAACCATTTTATCTAAATAGGCTGCTAAGCCTTTTACTAAATTACTTCTATCATATATTATCTCTTTACTGTAAAGTTTGGCTATTCTATTTATCAGATTTGTAGATTTTTTAAAGTTCTATATTATATCTAATCTAGATTTATTACAATTTTGTAATCTTTTTGATCTATCTAATAAAAAATTTGAAAATACTAGATATTTAAATTGTGGTCTTCTAGAAGTTGTTTAGTTTTGGTTTAGTATATATTTTCACGTAATCTGTGTTGTTTGTTTTGATTTCCTGATCTTCACATAGATCTTTATATGTAATTTAAAATTCTTTAGTTAATCAAAACAAATGTCTTATATAACAAATGATATAGAATTTTCAAGGATTTGGCAATTTCTCAGAAAAAATTTTAATAACTGAGTTTTTTTTAGTTATAAACTTTTCTTTGACTAGATAGTTTTCTGATATAGTTTAGCTCTTCTTGTTTCTTTAAGCCTTTGTGTTTTTTTGTTAAGATTCTTTTTCTTTAATAGCTTTTAATACCTTTCTTAAATGAGTTTAAGCATTTCTATGTTTTTTCTTTACTTCTGATTTTGGTTCAAATAATCTACAGAGAGAGTTGTATTTTTGATCATTTAAAATTATTGTTTTTTTTAATTATTATATTATAAAATATTCACTTTTCTGAAATATAAGTTTTTAGAAAGTAGTTATAAAATTTTATATTATTACTAATTTCAAATAAAAATATTTTAAATAAAAATATATATACTTACAATTGTTAGCATTCATTTCTACCTCGCTATTACTATAATTACTAATTCTACATTTAATATAAATAGTTATTTAATGATTATTATAACCTAATTAATTTGTTTAAATTTTTTGTGTTTTCAATTATCCTTTTAGCTTTTTATTTTTAAAATATGACTAATATTTATGAAAAAAAATGCAATTATTGCAAAAGTTTGTATACAAAAGAATATTTTATTAGAACAAAAAACAAAATGATACAATCATATAACAAATATAGTACATAAATTAGAAAGTTGAATAAGGTAAAAGCAAAAAAAAATAAAGATGAAGAAATCAAAAAATGTCAAAATTTTGCTTACTCTTGAGAAGAAATTATTAATGTCTTGTTAGATTTTCAGAAACATTTTGAAGATTTAATAAAAGTGAATCTTGTAAACAAGTATTAGATTATGAAATCTTAGTTTTTTTTTAATTTTTTCAATAATTATATTGAAACAAATAATGAAAATGAATATGACAAACTTATTGCTTACTAGATTATTGCTCTTATTTCAAAAGCTAATAATATACATAATATATATCATACACATAATAATTTGCAAGATAGTGTATCTTTTATCTTCTATTATAATTGCAATTAAAAAAAAGGGTTAGAATTGAAGATACCACTAAACAACAAAATATTGAACCTAGATTAATTCAATATGAATATGAAGGCTCTGTTCTTATCACTATTAAAAAGCTTCATAAGTTGATTTATATTCATACACATCATCTAATACACTCATGACCTAGATTATTTGCAATAACTTCTAAGACTAAAAAATATATTCAAAATAATAGGCTTCTTACCATATTTCAAATTAATAATAACATAAAAAATTTACATTTTAATAGATACTTTTATATTACACAAGAACAAGTTTATTATTGGTATAAACAATTATGAATTAATGAATATAAGTTGGATAAAAATTAAGTAGAATCAATAATAAAATATCTTTCACAACAAAGTTCTTTTAAATTAATTACCTAACAACCTATGGTTATTGCATTTACGACCTCTCTATTTGATCTTTTTCCAAAAGATCAAATAACTACTATTATTGTTGATGCTACATATAAAACCAATAATTTAAAATACAAGCTTTATGCAATTCTTGCAATGATTGATGGTGCTGGATTCTTTTTATCTTACTTATTTTTAAAACCTGGACAAGAAAAAAGCATTTATCAGTTCTTTCAAATTGGTTTAATTTAATAAAAAAACAAGGAATTAATATCTAAACCTTTTTGACTGACAAAGATTTGCTCAGATTACTTTAGCTCAAAAGACTTAGCCTCACATAAAGATTCAGTTATGTTATTAGCATGTTCTTCGTGCTATTACAAAGAAGCTTTCAAGTACAGAAATTATATATCCAAAATATATTGCACATGAAGCACATACCATTTGTCATGTAATAGATTCAGATTTGCCAAATTCTAATATAGTTAAAAATGTAGATAGTTATAAGGTTTTTTGTCGAAAAGATCTTCATGAGCACATTATTCAACTAATTCGAATTCATTTTTCCTTACATCCGTTAATACCAACTGAGAACAGATCTAAATTCATTACTTTACAAGAAGTTTAGCAAAATTGTGTTAAAGAGCAACATGACTATTGCAAATTTAATAACCTACCTCATGTTTGAGCCTATTTATGGGCTAAATGGTACCAGCTAGAACAGTGGGTATTATGGGCTCGCTCATCAACAGGATACATTAATATTTTATGCTCAACTATGGCAATTGAAAGCCATTGGAGGATAATAAAGCATGATTATCTTTCTGAATACAATAATGCACGTTTAGATTTATTAGTGCATATTATTGTAACATGAGTAATACCTAGACAAATTGATCGGTTACAACAATTGCGCGATGGTTGTATTGTTGTACAATGGAGATCAGATCTGAAGACAGAATGATACCAATTAAAAAAAAAATAATTAAACCTAATCCACAACGGATTACTAATACACAACAATGGATATGTTCCTGCCTTGATTTTTTGCTTAGCAGATTTTTCATCTGCAAGCATTTGGTCCAGGAAGTGGAACCAGTTCCTGTTGGATTTTTTAAAAAGGTATATTGTGTTAATTTGTTTGTACATATTGCATTTATTAATTTAATATTTTAGATACATCGCCAGGAATTCTACCCATTTTTACAGTTTACTGAGCAATATGATAACCCTTTTGAAAATTTACCAAAGAATCTTCTCCTTACCATTTTAAATAAATCATCAAATGTACATACACCAAACCAAAAGGCTATATCAAATAATAATTCTAACGCACCTTTTCAAGACAATACAAAAATTAACCAGAACGAAGAAAATATGATTGTTGTGTTATTACCTCAATATGAAGATGATACAATTGAATTATCTCAATATGAAGATGATCCAATTAACTTGCTCCAGGACGATACTATTGAATGTGAGGAATCTAAAAAAAAAAATGAATTATATTCTTTATTAGAAGAAGTTAAAACTATTATAGATGAAAATATCCAATCACCTAATGCAGAAAAATGGATCAATTCTATCGATAAAAATTTCAATTCTTTACGAAAAATGGTAAATGATTGTAGACAACTTAATAGACAACAAAAATTTCCAAATACTTGGGAAGGCCGCAACCACAACACATTCTGGATTTGAATAATAAGTTTGTATTTTATCAAAATAACCCTGAAACTAATAATAAAAATTTTAAATGAGCTACTTACGTTTAATAATAATACAAACGTAAATCGTAATCGTAAATAATATAAATACAATGTGATTTGTTAATCCAAAAAAAATTTTGTCAAGCGAAACATTTGAATTTTAATCGGATTTTTTGTGTTACTACTGATCCTAAAGTGTGATTGGAGCACGTGACCAGCGAAATTTTTTAGATTGGTAACGCTAGGGCGGTTTGGTGAAATACCTTTACGTTACACAAAATTTTATATTTTGAACTATGAGTTGAACACTGTATAGTGTAATTTATCAAAATCATAAAATAATTTCTTAAAAATAATTACAAAAATGAAAGCTTTATTATTTCTCTTTTGACATGAGCAATTTTAGTATAGACTATATTAACATTAAAAATACCATCTTGCTCAATTAATTGGCAAAATGGTAATATTCCTCCACCAACACCAAAATAAATAGTTTTTGCTGCGATGTAACTGCATTTAAAAAAAGATCAGGATACTATATGCATTTAAACTTATAAAAATATATATTATAAATATATAAATACAAAGGATACGCAATACCACTTGGGTATTTTAAGGTATGTTTAATGATATTATAAATTTTTGGAATAGAATTGATGTTATAAATCGTCTCAGACGAAAGTATTATATCATATTTTTCTTGATTTGAATGTAAATTCAACATATCCTATTATAATATAAAGTTATTTCTTGGTTTTCATAACTCGAAAATTTTAACCTATGTGTTATTAAAAATATAAAAACAAGAAATTTGAGGGATGGACCCGTGATTTTTGAATTTTTTGAGAATTAATTCCCATCCATACGCTGGGTTATGAAAACCAATCTATTAATTAATTTTGTAACCAAACATTAT